TGTTGAAAAAAGGCAAGCATCATTCTAGGGTGTGCTAGCAAGGATGTTGTAAGCAAGACACAAGAAGTAACTGGAGAAAATCCAGAGTAGAACAACAAAAAAGATTAAAGGTCTAGAAAATATGACCTATGTGGGATTATTGAAAAAATGTGGTGTGTTTAGAGGAGATGGGGTGGGGGACATGATAACAGTTTTCAGGTACATAAACGGTTGTTATAGGAATGGTCTAGTTTCATACAGTCCTGCCTTACGTGCAGGGGACTGGACTAGATGACCTATTGAGGTCCCTTGATAAGTAGAGATGGACAATAACTGATTTTTTCAGTTCACTGGGAGACACAAAGTGAGTTAGGTAATATATTTATTGGATCAACTTCTGTTGGTGACAGAAACAAGATAATACCTCACCCACCTTGTCTCCCTCATATCTGGGAACCACACAGCTACAGCAAAAATGCAGACATTTTTAATTCACTAGCTGTTCTGAAAAATAACCTGAAAAGTTTAAAAAAATTAATTTTAAGTCGAATTAAATTTTTGTTTTGTTTTGGATGGATTTTTAAGTTTTTTTTAAAAAAACTAATAAAATTGAAGGACATTTCTAAACGAAATTTCAAAACATTTCATTCTGAGGGAAGGGATTTTTGTTGTTGCTCTTTTTTTACTGAAACAGTTCAGTGAATTTGACACAAATTCACAGAATGTTTTCAACTTGAACCTGCATTTTTCACTGACAAAAAGTTTCCGTTGAAAAATTTTGCCCAGTTCTAGCTAAAAATTCAAAAATACAATTATTAGAAAATTAGATTCATGATAATCCAGCTGTTTTTACTTTATGAGACCTTGTGGAGATGAAGGGCCTGATCCTCCCCTGCCCTGCTGCTTGTACACTCCTGTACAGCTATGCAAAGGGGATGCAAAGCACTACTGAATTGGAAGGGCAGCATTTCACACCCACCTTACATGTGTGTAAGTTACTACACAAGGTGCAGGGCACTGGAGAATCAGGCCTGAAATCTCACTAGCTGCTATCTTAAAATAATAGCTACTAAAAGTATGCTATTAAAGCACAACCACCATAAAGTGGGTCTGAGCTATAGCAGTGAAGTATAAGGAAAAAATTGAAGTACCTTGGTTACTACTGCATGGTAACTGTGGGTATATATTAACTTTTTAATGGCATCAACTGTATAATCGTTCCTGTTGAGAGCTTTCTTCAAAACTGACTATGTGGTTCATTTATTTACAGAGAATGAAATTCACCCTTGTGCTGAAGATGAAGATGCCTGTAGGACAGTAAATCACGCTTAATACTACTGACCAACACACTGGGATGAATTGCACCCCAGGTCTAGATTCTAGTTCCCAGCTCCATCCCCTTTCTGTTGCTCTGATAGTGCAAAGAGGATGTGGGTGCTGCCTTAGCTGGGCACCTGAAGATTCCCCTGATGTAGGGTAATCTCAAGGTGGCATTAAGCCAAAATCGCTGGTGCTAAGCCATCTGGTCCCCACCCCTAAAGGGGCACTCAAGGGTATGGCCAAAGTGCACCATGCTCCAGCATTCATTGGCTATTGGAGTCATCCCTCAAGAATGGTCCTAGCAGGAAGAATTTAGAGCAGCCTTTATGCTGCTGAAGCTACATTGTAGGCCCGTTTTAGTCCAGGATCAGGGAAGAGGTAAAGTAGCTTTGAGCCATCCCCCTTCAGCCTCACCCTGGCCTTTGCTGAGTTTAACTAAACTAGGCCCATAGGCCCCATGTATATAAGTAGCACTTTTTCATTATTCCTGTCAGTGATAATGTCCATTTTGTATTTGTTCTTGCTGCTCGTGGAGTAACCTCTAACCGCAATCTTAACAACGCCCAAGGACACCCTAGCAGAAAAGCCAAAATGTTCAACCGTCAGTCGATAATTCTAACAGGTGTATGGACATTATTTCTGACTATCAGAGGCACTATCAGTAGGGATGATAGTCCAAGTTAAAAAAACATGTTATGTCAAGTGCAGATCCAGTTGTCTGTTACCTGGAGACAGAATAGCAATACCTGTGTCACACTGAACGGTTAATAGTGCCACCCTGTAAAGAAATTGAGTGTACCTAAAACACAAAATAGGTTTGGTGTATTAAAGCCAGGGTGTAGGGAGCCAGGGTGACTCCCCTCCGAACCAGAGGGTAAAGAGCCACCCTTTCAGCCTGAGTGGGCGGGGCCAGGCCAAGCTTCCGCCAATCCCTGGAAGGGGAAGGGTGGGACAGGAAGTACAAAGGGCGGGGCCCTCTGCCCAGTGAAGAGAGCACCAGGGACGGAGACAGACACAGGCTGCTCCCTCGCGATCCTGCTGCTGACCCAGGCGAAGCCCTGAGCAAGGAGGAGCCTGACCGGGAGGAAGGCCTGTGGCAACCAGGGCTGCTAGCTGCTGAATACCCAGAGGACCTGGAGGGGTCTGACTGCAGCCTGGGCCAGCATGAGTCCGATACCGAGGGGGAGCGGGAGTGGCCCGCAGCGGATTACCCGGAGGAGATGGAGGGACCGGAGCGACCCGCCTGAGAGACCGGGTAGGAAGTAGCCCAGGGGCCGAACTACACCGTGGGGTGGGTGTGTTTGGTCAGTGGGCGCGGACGGCCCCGCTGACCCAGCGGTGGGACTTTCGCCTCCCGCCACTGCCAGGACCCTGGGCTGGAACGCAGTGGAGTTGGGTGGGCCTGCGTTCCCCTACCCGCGCGCCCCTCACACCTTCCCCACTCATTCCCCAATGCCCGGAAGGTGTGGCTGAGGCCTGCCACGGAGACCATAGCTCTCCATCGCCCCTAGGGGCTCGGAGGACCGACCGACACCTGTCACACAGGGGCTTTGGTAAATATAGGCCATGAGCAGACATTCTCCTCGCAGTAGAGCTAAACGTTCTTTAACACTCAGTTTTGTTTTGCCTCCTCTTCTTAGAATATGTTTTCACTTGGGAAGACCTTTGCCTGGGCAATGGAGGATTTATAAGAGTAATATTTAATTAACACTTACACAGCACTCTTCATTTGTAGATCTCAAAGCTTTTCTAAGAAATGGGTCTAATTTCCCCTATTTTGGGGACTCGAGGCACAGAGTAGATAAGTGATGTGCCTGAAGTCGCACAGGGAGTCATTGTCAGAGTGATGACTGGAATCCAAATTGCCTGAGTCCCAGACCAATGCCCTGTCTGTCAGGCAAGCCAGCTTTCCAGCTGTAACTGTTCACTGTCTGGCTTCCCTTACATAATGCCTGTTCTGCATTTGTATCCATCATTGCCCAAATTATGAAGGCAACTGTATACACAAATTAGGTCTCCAACTGACCTGCCAGTAAACCACTGACTTGCCAGAAAAGAAAGACAAAAGTTAAGCTTTAGTTTTGATTCCAGGGTTTCCTTCAGTGCTCCGAAGGAAAATGAACATTGGCAATTAAGGGCCCCCAGAAGTGGAACACAGATTCCACACTCAAATAGAATAACCAGTTGACTAGCTCTAGCAAAATGAATGTTTGGGTAAGGAAGAAAACTGCTTAACTGGTCTCACTGCACAAAGTGTCAAAATGCAAAGAATTTTTATCACAATAGTTTTCAATTTTACACTCCTGTAAGGCCTTTCATAATGAGGGCAGTACCAATTACTGTAGAATTTGCTCATCTGATCCCCTTCTTTTTCATCTATGTACAGTAATTATTATTTATGTGCCAAGGGACCTTTTGAGATCAGTGAGAGTACTCCCATTGATTTAAGTGGGTGCTGGATCAGGCTCTGAATCCTTTAGCTTTTACTCAAGGCAAACATTCCATTCAAGTCAGCTGCAGTTTTGCATAAGTGTGAATGGCAGGATTTGACCCTGTATTTTTAACATGACTGCACACAAGATAAGACTTACCTATCTGTACTTCCAGGTCTGGACATTTCAGACAGTTATGCAAACAATTGTCCATGCAGCTCTATGTGCAATTTGCACATGGAGTGACCACAACTGTGTGCACAAATGTGGGAACTACATGTTTATTTGGCCAGGATCCCATCATGCTAGGTTCTTTTCAAGCATAACAAAGAGATGATCTCTGCCCGAAAGATCTTACAAGTAATTGCCCCACTGTCTGTTTGGGACATGCACACTGTAGCTGCAGCAGATGAAAATGCTGGATTTTGGCTTTTGCCTGATCCAATTTAAATGTAATTGTTTCACTTTATATTTCCAATAAAAACACTAGCCCAAATTCAGCTGTCATGCACCCCGTACAATCCCTCTGGCTGCAGTGAGATTGCAAGGGGGTGGAAGCCTGCCATGAATTTGGCACATCATCATTAATAAAACAATACAGCTTTTCCTCAGCTGCTGTGAAAACAATAAGTGGAGTAGATGTTTAAAATGAAAGAATCAACTTTTCAAGCTGTGGGTGATATATTATCTAAAAGAGGGTATGAAAAATTGACCAACATATTTGTCATACCCTCTGGGAAGCCTCATAGAGGAAGTGATTAAATTTAACATAGCTGACCTTGTTGTCCTAAGTCTAATGAATCAAAGGGGACAGAGATGTCCTTGATCACCTGGTGCTTTCTCACGTCTTGGACTCAAAGTCCCCTATAATTCATCCATCTTAATTCCATGGATGGTGGAACTGATTAATATACCGGCCTATCACCTTTCAAATGGAGTTTTAGGTCTGCTTGGCCTAAAGTGAAATTAGCCTCAGCTGCTCTCTTCTTCCATAGAAGAATGTAACTGCGTGAAAAGACTCTGTGCTGAAGAACGTCAGATTAACTCAATGCGGTCCTGGTCTTCCATTGGGATCAACGTGTGGATAACAGTGAGTTTGTCCATGATCAGGCCCTTTGTGAAGTTTCTCAAAGAAGTTGAGGAGGGCAACTTGTGTACATCCATAATATTTGCCAGTAGTGACAGATGCTAAGTCCTTTATACTATAATAATCATGTTCTGTTTGTATTGTAGCTGTTCTTTTTTATCATATAACCAATTACTACTTACTTTTGGACTGCTGTAACCTAATTGTTGTGCATCATGTCTCCAGTACATACTACCTGAAACAAAAAGAGCAAAAAGGATGTTCAGACAGGAGGTTATAAAATGCATTTTTGCCACACAAAATTACATTTCCAGTTCCAGTCCAGAGTTATTGTCCCCACTCCATTGCATTAGCTGTTGTAATTTCAAAACAGGCTTGCCAAATTCTGAAGGCAACATTTAAACTCCTTCTGGTTTGTCAGCATCTTTCATCATAAAACAGGATTCATCCTTTCAAATGCATTTTCTCTCCCACTTGGGCAGACGCACCTGCACTTTGAGAAACTGAGGATTACAGTAGAAACTTGCAACAAATCCAAGAGCTGCAACTGAGTTGCATAAACGGGAGTAAATTGCAGCTATCCTCATATTCAGTGTTGAGCTTTCCATGGGAAGATTGCAGGTCTCAATATGCAATGCTGTATCTTGATCTAGATAGCTTCCTTCTGGATTTAAGATGGGTTATTGTACACAGGAACCTACTTTGGTCCTGATTCAGCAAGCCACTTATTATTATGTATTATTTGTATCATCATAGTGCCTAAGTAGCCCTAGTCATGGACCCGGATCCCATTGTGCTAGGTACTGTACAAACACAGAATCAAAAGATACTCCCTTCCCTTAAGCAAATGAACTCAAGGGGTGAGATTTAGGGCTGTGCCTCTGAGTTGTGGGGGGTATGAGTGGGGATGAGAAAGAAGCTTTAAGTCACCTTGGTGACATACATTAAAGCACACCAGGGAACATTTAGTGTGCACCACCAGAGTATACATGGACCAGTTAATGCACAGCATGTTTGCTTTAGAAAGCACTCCCTCATAGTATGTGTTACCTCATTGTGTATATAGGCCCTTATACAGCCCTTGGAGGCCTGCCTAAGTTACCATGGCTTCTTGGGGTTGCCCTACAGGCTGCCCAGAATCACCACTGTGTACTGCAGTCCACCCCCCATATGCCCCTCTTGCTCTTGCTTCCAATATGCCCCCTTTGCCAGGGCTTTCAAAAGGGTCCCTGGGGGATGGGGGGTGAAGGTAGTAGCTTTATGACTTTCTTCCACAATGCCTGCACCAGGGAATCTTCCTCCAGTCAGATATCAGAGTCTTAGGGTCACAGCGTGAGCTCCCTCACCCTGGATTTCCCTTTGCAAGCAGTCCTCACACACTGCTACATAAGTCCACCACAATATACTTTATTTACAATGTCTTATGACGCTTCATAGCCCATCACCATAAGGCTTTTCGCAAGCTTCAGTATACCTTCTGGGCACAAGAAGTGGCGGGGGGGGGGGGGCGGGGAAGAGGCCTTACCTCTCTGAGATCCTGAGTTGCTTTGCCCACCCTCCCTTCCAGCCTTCCCCTTTTCCAGTCCCCAGCTGGTTAGTTGAGTCCCCTTGTAAACTGGTTAATCATCCAGTCCTAAACAATTACCTCCCAATTTGGTCGCTGGTGGGGGGACACTCAACAAAGCATTTTACAAAGTCTCCTTGCTTCTTCCACTGTGTCACAGGCCCTTTTATGTCACTCTGGCCCTTTTACTTCTTGTAATGGGGACAGAGCAGGAGGGAGGCCAAACTGGACAGTCTCTACATAAAAGAATAAATGCACACAAATCAGACATCAGGAATGGTAACATACAAAAGCCAAAGGAGAACACTTCAATCTCCCTGGACATTCAATAACAGATTTAAAGGTAGCCATCCTGCAACAACAACAACAAAAAAAAACTTCAAAAACAGACTTCAAAGAGAAACTGCAGAGCTACAATTCATTTGCAAACTTAACACCATAAATTTGGGCTTGAATAGGGACTGGGAGTTGCTGACTCACTACAAAAGCAATTTTCCCTCTCTTGGTATTGACACCTCCTCATCAATTATTGGGAGTGGACCACATCCGCCCTGACTGAATTGGCTTTGTCAACACTGCTCCTCTACTTGTAAGGTAGCTCCCTTGTCTTCATGTGCCAGTATATTTATGCCTGTATCTGTAATTTTCACTCCATACATCTGAAGAAATGGGTTTTTTTTACCCACAAAAGCTTATGCCCAAAGAAATCTGTTTGTCTTTAAGGTGCCACCGGACTCCTCATTGTTTTGGTGGCTACAGACTAACGTGGCTACCCTTCTGGTACAAGAGGGAGGCTGTTGCCCAAAGTGTTTGAAGTTAAGCTTGTGCTTAGGTGCCTAGAGGAATTGGAGCTGTCCTCTTTTGAAACTGCACCTCTACATTTAAAGATGCAAGCAATTTCAAGCTACTCCATGGGAGATATTTGGTCCATAGGTTATTAACTGGGCAATACCTGCATTAGAGTAAGGAAAGATATTGTATATGGCTCATAACTTTGCAAACATTTCAGCAGGGAACATTGAGGCAGCAGAAACCCATCAGACTGCTAGAAATAAATACCATTTTTCCGTATACGTGAAGTTTAGGGCAGCTGTGAGACTCCCACACATGCCTCTCACTGTCTCTGACTTTCTGAGACAGTGCTGTCTTGGTATTAAAATTCTTTTTGGTCCCTCCACATTCTGGCATAGTCTGTCACTAAGGATGGAGATTTATAAAGCAGAAAATCACTTCAGGTTTTAGAGCAATAGTTGAGCTTTTTTATAAAATGCCTGATTGATTTGAAATTGCTCACACTGAAATCTTTCTATGACTTCTTTTACCCAATTTTCCATTTACTGTCCCTGATTTTTGTCTTTTGTTCTTGACTTTTGGAGCACTCGTCCAGATTTGTGTCACAGGAATGTGCTTACTTCACAGGCCAGTGCCTGGATGCATTACCCTTAGAGCAGGAAGGGGTGCCTCATGAATAGGATTTTTTAAATATGCAATGGAAGCTAAAGGCTGCAGCTGGAGACTTATTATAAGCATTGACCCTCTGTCGCCTGAGCATTGATCTGGTCCAGTCCCCACACCCGTGCTAATGCACTTTAGGCACACAGATACTATATTTAGAGGTCTCTATATGAGATGACAGGCAAACAATTTAAATAAAAATGCCATATTTGGCCTTTGAGAGATTCCTCCTTGATCAAACACACATACATATGCACCTCCCAAGAATGGATGGAATAGGAAACCCCGAATGGGAAGAAAATATTTTAAAGCACCACCCTGGCCAAGAGACAGGCCAAATATTGAATAAGGCATAGAGGTTGAACTACTAGGGTGAAATCCTGGTCTCATTGAAGTCGATGGGAGTTTTCCTACTCTCTGAGCCCTGGAGATGAGCTTCCATGCCCCACTCAATACTTGGTCTTTGCAGAATGGGGTGTAGGCACTTGAGGGCAAATTTTTGTAGGTATTTAGGTGCCTACAGAGTAGCTGTAGTAGATGCCTAATGCGATTTTGAAATGGAAGCTGGTAGCTTCCTTGCCTTGACTCCAGCTCCTGGTCCTGCACCACTAAAGTCAATGGGAACTTTGCCTTTGATTTCAACAAGTGTAGGATCAAGTCCTTTGTGGGGAGAAGCATAGAAGCTTTCAGTGCTGCTGCCCATACTGTAGCAGTTCTTCAGGTCAGTTTTTAGAGCTGGGTTGTCAAGGACAGTATTTGCCTTAAAATGCTTAAAATGCCTCCAAATGCTCTTCTCTTTTAAGTAAAAAAGGACCTGACCTATAGCCCACTGAAATCTATGGAAAGACTCCCATTGACTTCAAGGAGCTTTGGTTCAGGCCCAAATATCTGTCTTCCTAGCAAGAACTTAAGATAAGATACGGTAGCTTTCAAACTGAAGGAGTGTAAAGGGAGGAGGTTTAAAAGCAAATACCTGAGGGATAAAATGTGGATAGAGGTAATTTAATTTTGGACCTTTGTTGGGGTTGCTTCATTTTGTCTGGAAACTCTATACAGATCAGTGCCCACACCTCTGTAAACCCATCTGAACATAATAAGAATAAATAATAAATAAAAAGGTTGTCCAAGTTGTCTTGATGTGACAACATAGAGGTATTAGCATTTCTTCTCCTCACTGGTCAATATACACAAAACACAAACAAGTCATATAGCAGGACTGAGTATTTGTAATATAGCCAAGATTTTATCAGTCAGCAAATGAGATAAAGAAAGGGGAATCAGACAGTTGAAAATAACATTGGGTAGCAGTGTAAAAGCATCTGCTCCTCTTTATTTGTGTGAACTGTTGTTTATTGTTTAGTGCAGAGCTTTTTTTTTTTTTTTTTTTTTTTTTAGTAAGTACGATGAACTGAAGGAGAAGCCCTCTGTACAGTTTCCCCATCGTCTCATTGTTGGAACTTCTCTTTAATTTCCCAAAGGTTGCTAGCATTCCAGCATCTTTTTTTTTTTTTTTGTCTTAATTTGAATTCTGAAGAGGAGGAGGAGAGGGATACCGTTCCAAGCTCGTTTTTCCCCCTTGAAAAAGGAAATTCTTCACAATTAAGAATCTCTAATTAAAAAGTCTTTATGCCAAAAATAAAATGACTAAGGCGAGTCATATATCAGTGCCTCTTGGGTGGCCAAATGGGTAAAATTTACTGTCTAGTTGGATTATGACATATAAACAAAGGTAAAGGTCTGTATTAAATTATTATTTTATGACATTCAAATGTATTTGGCCACCAGATCTGGTCTAATGCAGCAGACAGTTAGGGGAGTACAATTTTACTTTTCTCTAAAGAAAACATTGGAACACTGTACAACCATCAACAAACAGCATAAATAACAAACAGAGTGGGGAAAAGCCGTGATATGGTTAAGAAGAAACAATACATGTAGCTCAAACTTGTAGTTAGGGCTCACTTAAACAGAATTTAATATACCAGACACATTGCATTGCAAGTGAATTCTCATTTCGTCAAAACACTAACAGATGTTTAATCAATAAGATGTACCATAAAGGGCAGCACAATTAGTAGGTCTGAGAAATGTTCTTGTGTGATGTTAGAAAGCTGTAATTATGGACCAGCTCTCATAAGTGGTTTGCCCAGATGACACATAATATCAATATTCCAGCTCGCAAAAAGGCTGCACGACACTTTTAATACAATTACATCCACAAAGAAACAACAGCCCTGATCTTAGAGAACACTTTTAAACAAATATCGAAGTTGTCACTGATTTAAAAACTCATTGGGCCCAATTCTTTTTTGTACTGGCGCTCCTTTACACCTCTCCAGCATCCTAAAGGAGTTGCAATATGGATGTGCTCGAGATACTCTCGTTTGTCAGAGGGTGCATGAGGAAAGGGTGCAGCTAAAGCATAAGTTGGACGTACCCTGACGGTGCCCTAACTTAGGCAGGGGACCAGACAGGCTCCTGAATGCCCCCACTAGTGTGCACCTGTGCTATGCCTTCAAGTGGATGGGATCACTACTATTCAGCTGTGTGTCTCAGTCCTTATATCATATACAAATCTCCATTATTTCTGGTGGTAGGAGGTAGATGTAGTCTATGCGTTGGGAGCATGAAGATCTGAGGATTATCCCCACTGCTGTCATGATGGTTAGAGCAGCCAAGTGGTCATCTTAGAGACAACCATGATGTTCTTTGGGACTATGGATTTGTTACAGTATTTTACCCTTCCTCTCGTATGGGAACATGACTGTCTACTGCTCTATCCTGAAAATGTAGAGACTCTCTAGCCATGGATCACTTCCTAAAAAACATAGAAATGATGCATAGACTCTAGCCAGTTTTTTACAGTGCAGCAAAGCCGTTGCAAATCTGAGTTCCTCCTTACCTTGCCCTGCTAAGTCTGGATTCATAATACTCCTAAATTACTAGGATTTCAGATGTGTTACCTTGGTACATGAATTTGAACTTCCATATCTAATGGGTTAAGGAGATCAATACAGCAATGTACTGCAATCACACATTGCTGTACTTAACCTGCAATTACAGTTCTTTACTGAAACCCTTCAAATTTTAGGTTAATCAAACTGAGCATTCTGCTCCTCCCCATAAATTCAAAGAGGCAGATTTATTTCAATATAGTGAATCATACATTGTGGAAGCAATCCTGAATGTGTTTTTTATCCACGATAAAGAGCAAAAATAACAATGGTCAAATGGATCATGATTTTGTTGTTATTAGTTTTATTAAAAGCCTAGCTCCTTTCAAGACAGGGGAGCTGCACCAATATATATCAGCTGAGAATCTGGCCCACAGTTCTTAATGTAAGATTTATAAATGGGCCAGTGGAAATACACTGTGATAAAACATGAAAAGTAGTCCTTTTAATGTAAGCAATTAATTTAGCTGTTCCCAAAGAGAAAGCTGCCCTAGGCTTCCAGTATCATAGATCATTTCATCCCATGATGGATAGCCCAGGTGCATCCTGTTATATGTATCTCATTATCTATAGTAACAAAGACTCACCCATGTATACACATAAACACATCAATGGTGGGCAGTGCTTAGGCAACAAACATTACAAAAATAATGGAATGAAATTTCTGAGTCACTCCTCCAGACAGCATATGCTGAATGCTCAGTAAATTGTTTCTATGCAGCTCTCAGTAATAATACAAATGAAATAATTTTTCTCAGATACAAATACAATGTACCAATATTGCTGCTGTGGGGACTATTCACATAACACTGCCTTTCCTTGCCATCTGGGACATCAGACAATGGAGCTATGGCAGTTGTACCAGCTGAGGATCTGGTCTTGAGAGTGGAACCTAAATTTCTGATTTGGGAACCTATCTCTTGAGCTTTTGAATGTCAGAGAATATCTACCTACCTACCTATCTAGGCATGGGTGGGGGTTAAATATTAATTTGATTGTTTTGGGGGTTGACTTGTGGGGGGAAGAGATGCAGGATGAGCTCCTCAAACAGTGTAAATTTCTGTAGTGATGTTGGAGTTGCACCAATTTACACAAGCTGGCCCTATGAGGTTACCTCACAATACCCCATTTTAGGATTTGTTTTTGTTTTATTTAGACAGCAGATTTAATCTTGTTTTAAACTTAGAGTAAATAACGTTATTCCACTGCCTTCTACGCCCATCCCCACCTCAAAATGTCTCCTAAGAAACCTTTGAAAATGAAAAGGAGCACAGAGGTGCATAATCTTGGTCATATTCACCTTATGAAAAATTCACCCCTGTGCAGAAGGCCTGTATGATCCCTATGCTCCCACAGAACCATAGAAGATTAGGGTTGGAAGAGATCTCAGGAGGTCATCTAGTCCAACCCCCTGCTCAAAGCAGGACCAACACCAACTAAATCATCCCAGCCAGGGCTTTGTCAAGACAGGCCTTAAAAACGTCTAAGGATGGAAATTCCACCACCTCCCTAGGTAACCCATTTCAGTGCTTCACCACCCTCCTGATGAAATAGTTTTTCCTAATATCCAACCTAGACCTCCCCCACTGCAACTTGAGACCATTGCTCCTTGTACTGTCATCTGCCACCACTGAGAACAGCCGAGCTCCATCCTCTTCAGGTAGTTGAAGGCTGCTATCAAATCTCTCCTCACTCTTCTCTTCTGCAGACTAAATAAGCCCAGTTCCCTCAGCCCCTCCTCATAAGTCATGTTCCCGAGCCCTCTAATAATTTTTGTTGCCCTCCACTGCTCTCTCTCTAATTTGTTCACATCCTTTCTGTAGTGGGGAGGGGGGAAAAACTGGACACAATACTCCAGATGTGATCTCACCAGTGCCGAACAGAGGGGAATAATCACTTCCCTCAATCTGCTAACAACGCTCCTACTAATGCAGCCCAATATGCCATTAGACTTCTTGGCAAAAAGGGCACACTGTTGAGTCATATCCAGCTTCTCATCCACTGTAACCCCTAGGTCCTTTTCTGCAGAACTGCTGCCTAGCCATTCGGTCCCTAGTCTGTAGCAGTGCATGGGATTCTTCCACCCTAAGTGCAGGACTCTGCACTTGTCCTTGTTGAACCTCATCAGATTTCTTTTGGCCGAATCCTCCAATTTGTCTAGGTCACTCTGGACCCTATCCCTACCCTCCAGCATATCTACCTCTCCCCCCCAGCTTAGTGTCATCTGCGAATTTGCTGAGGGTGCAATCCATCCCATCAGCCAGATCATTAATGAAGATGTTCAACAAAACTGCCCACAGGACCGACCCCTGGGGCACTCCGCTTGATACCAGCTGCCAACTAGACATTGAGCCAGTGATCACTACCCGTTGAGCCCGACAATCTAGCCAGCTTTCTGTCCATGTTATAGTCCATTCGTCCAATCCATACTTCTTTAACTTGTTGGAAGAATACTGTGGGAGATCATTTCAAAAGCTTTGCTTAAGTCAAGGTATATCATGTCCACCGCTTTCCCCGTATCTACAGAGCCAGTTATTTCATCATAGAAGGCAATCAGGTTGGTCAGGCATGACTTGCCCTTGTTGAGTCCATGTTGACTGTTCCTGATCACCTTCCTCTCCTCCAAGTGCTTCAAAATGGATTCCTTGAGGACCTGCTCATTATAGGCTTTGCTAGCCCTCTGCACAGGAGTGAATTTCACCCTCTGTGAACATTGTAAAGGGGAGATAGCAAGAGAAATAGTCTTGGTTTATGGCTCTCCTTCTCATCATTCTTGCAGCCAATGTTTTGGACACAATCTGAGCTCCACCATTATTGTGATGTATACAGCTTGCATGTTGTTCTGGCAGGGTCTGATGCCGCTTTGAGTTGGTATGTCCTGGTCTGTGGGGAGCTTGCTTCTGAGGATGAGCTTGAAGAGGTTGGGGGGTTATTTGAAGGCCAGAACAGAAGGTTCAGGAAAGATTACATTGAGTACGGGTTGTAATTTTTTGATGCTCCCCTCTACATGTTCCAGTGTGGGGTGGTAGGTGACAGTGAGTCAGTGACAGTCAAAGGACTACTGAGCACAGCAACACTGAAATACCTTTAAAAATCTGGGCCCTTGCCTGGTCAGTATCATGTACACTATGTGGGTTAGATGAGGTACATTTTCTCTAGTTTTGTTTTTCCTTGTGTTTACAGCAATCTTTTGCAGATCTGGTGGACTTTATGTATCAGCATGAGATTGTGTTGTGGATTTAGATATAACTGGCCCTGGTGAGAGCAATGTCATTTTTTTCCTTTCTTCTTCATTCTGTAATAATTCATTTCATGCCCTGTAAGCATTTATATGGCTTTACTAAAAAAAAAAAAAAAGAAGAATACATTCGTGGGCTTGAATTAAAAATAAAATCTCAGTGAATATAGAAAAAAAACAAGCAAACATAGAGTGGCAATCACAGAAGGGTAGCTTAAAAACATCTGGACCAGTTTCTGATCCCCCTACTCACGCTGAGTAGTAATTAACTACACATTTAGTCCTGTTGATTTCAATGGGATTAATAGCACAGGTAGTCCTTGCTATGGTTACAGGGCGAGCCTTGCTTTAAACCCCTTTGTAGTCTTTGTTGAGTGCTCCACTCAGGTGACAGGCTTTGTTCCCTTCACCTCTCTGAAGAGGGGAACCCCACCGTTCAACCCCTCTTTGACTGGTACTCTGGGTTGCACTGCCACTGTTTCGCCAAGCGTATACACCTCAGCCTCCCCAACTGGATTTGGGTCAGTCTCTCTGGGAACTTGTGTAAGCATCAAAGAATGCTTACATTTGTGACCAGTATGACATGCATTGATTCAGCACAGCATCTTCAAAAGCGAGCATGATTTATTGGTTCATAGAAATTTAACAAGCAGAGAGAAACTGGGTTAACACAATGAAAGCGTAAATTCAGTCTGTCTTACCTAATTTTAGCCTGTCCTTGCTAGTTTAAGCAGGCTTTAGTTTATGCCACATACCCCTTCTGAGTCTGAGGATCAACTTGCATCTCTCCAGGCTCCCTTTCTGTCTGTTCCAAAGTCTCTTCTCTGTCTTTGTCTGGCTACTTTTATCAGAACAAAAGCTCTTTATTTTAGTGTATTGTCTTGCTGACAAGGGGACTTTTCTGAAATCACTGACTGCTTTCCAGGCCTAACTGCGCCCAGTCCTTGCAGGAATTAACTCTTGGCTATTCACATAGCCGGTAATGCAGTAACAAATAATTAGGCTTGGCAGAATTCGATTTTTGTATATATAATTTTGATGGATATTGATGTTTATTTTAAAGCATTTTTTCCTGATTTTTATCTATGTAAATGTTCACAGCTGTGCAGAATTATGGGGTTTAAGCCATTTTTATTTTTATTTATTTAAATGTTCACAGTTGTGGGAAATGGTGAGCGGGGGGAGTCAGCAACAGGGAGAACAGAAAATTATTTAATGACAATAGATTTAAGATTAAAAAAATTAAAGGTTTTTAACTGTTAAAACATAAATTGTCAACATAACATGTCCAACTACACAAAACAAATAACCTTAAATCAAGCAGCATTTTTCTTACTTTGGCTATCTGTAAATTTTAATTATTATCAATGGAAATATTTGTTCATTTGTTTGTGTGTGTATGGTGAAATCAGTGTTTACCGACATTTACCGATAAAAATCTAAGTCTTTCAAGACTACAAATAATATTCATAAAGGTAAGAAAGCTATCTACCCTCTGTGTTACAAGCCCCAATTTTACAACTGCTTGTACACATGCTTAACTTTAAACACATAAATAATCCCAGTGAAATCAATGGGACTGCATATATCCTTAAAGTTAAGCACACACATAAGCATTCTACATGATCGGACTCATCTCTTCTCACTGTAAGGATGGCAAAAACCTGTCCCTCAAGCCAGTATTGTCATCAAGGATAACCCATCGTGACATCATAGAGTCAAGGTGCTGGAAGGCAAAGATATGAGACACATCATGTCTGTATATTAACCTTTTCAGAAGACCTGGGGATTCAATTCTGGTACTAAATTAAGTTTTTGGAAATGATATTATAACATACTTTATCCCCATTCCCCAGATCCTTAAATATTTTAGAATTCCATCAAAGAATATGTCTCTCACTGCCATGCTTTACTCTTCTGTCTTATGTTAAACTTGAATTGTAACTTGTATGTCCATTGCTGACCAGCATAAAGTTATGCAGGGAGTGGGGAAGCAGGAAAGTGTTTTATTTTTTTTTAAATATAAAGCAGAAAAAAAATACATCTCAAGACTTGGCTAAAGCAACTCAATAACTATGGAAAGATTTTCTTCACATATTGGGTCAGGATTTACTTACTCGGGTATCAAGGCTTCAGTATTGTTTCCTGCCAATTTATGTGTTATTGTTGAGCATTAAGGAGTATTTTTCTTTGAATTTGATTATAGTAAAATTCTTTCAAATGAATATTTTGCAAAGAGACAGGATGATGTGGTTGATGATCACCTAGATAGTCTGGCTGATGAGGCTATAACCAATTTGATGCTTCCTGTATATGAATATATTTTTTAAATCACATCATTTTGTACTGTGTGGATTTTTATTAAATTGAAGTAAAAAGAGAGAAGTTTTAAAAAGTGATAAAGGAGAATTTAATGTAGTTCTAATAGTGATTCATTTTCATAAAAGCATTTTTGGAAGGCATCAGATTAAATGTAAAAATATTATCTTGTATAATTTGCTTCATGATTCCCCTCCCCCGCCCCCCAAGTGGGTTTTTACAAATGTAACCTAGATTAAGATTTAAGAACAGAATTTTTTTTTCATTTTGTGACTGGATAGCTTTTTAAAATATGTGAGATAATATATACGAATGAGATAAAAGGTTTTTTTTAACCTCCATTGTACTATTTTGATAGTCTCTATTTGGGGTGTTTAGAGGACTCCCACTGACAAAATTAATATTCAGTTCTGATCTTTTAATGTTTTTATTTTTGCTGAGCCCTTTTCTTCCTACAGTTAGCGTCAGTCATCCATGCTTTACTAACCTCTCAGACTATTACCTGGGACTATCAGTGAAAGCCCCCTAGAAACTCTAACTCGTCTCAAATGCAGCTTGCCTGCCTCCAGGGTATGGTGGGCTGACATTAGTACCTGCAATGGTAGCCAATCAACTGCTGACTGAAATAAGAGAGACTGGTTACCATATATACAGCTCTGAATGGTCTAGTCTTAACGCTTGTTTAAATACATATAAAGGTCCCACTATATAATTCCCTCATATCCAGAACACTGAAGCTTTATGTACTAAGGGTCAAGTATCAGAGGGGTAGCCATGTTAGTCTGGGTCTGTAAAAGTGGCAAAGAGTCCTGTGGCACCTAAAAGACTAACAGACGTATTGGAGCATAAGCTTTCGTGGGTGAATACCCACTTCGTTGGATGCATCTGGCCATGTTAGTCTGGGTCTGTAAAAGTGGCAAAGAGTCCTGTGGCACCTTATAGACTAACAGACATATTGGAGCATAATCTTTCGTGGGTGAATACCCACTTCGTCAGATGCATCTATCCGACGAAGTGGGTATTCACGCACAAAAGCTTATGCTCCAATACATCTATTAGTCTATAAGGTGCCACAGGACTCTTTGCTGCATGTACTAAAGGTGTAGCTTGTGGATCCAAGAAACAAGGCATTTTCAGAGATGGGCTTGGCCTCTGGAATTTGATCCCTTTGGAAATATGCTTCACCATAAACCTGCCCAGTTAGGAATAGTAGCAAATGTAGCCCCTTGCCCAGGCCTTCCAAACTGATTATGTGTTTATCTAGATGGTTAGATTAAAAGCTGTGGACAGCAGGGGATTGCAGTGTTTTGTCTCTTACTAATGTAGCCCATCCCCTGAGGTGTTACTCTAACCTCCTTCCTGGTATTTGCTATTTGGATTGGCTTCTCCCCTCTCCTCGCTGGGTCCTGGGTTCTTTCTGTGATGCCTGGTACCTCCACCTGAGGTGACTCCTCACTGTGCCCAGGACACAAGGGGGTCGGTCCCTTGGGGAAATGAACAATGCTACTAATGGGCGAGTAGTACAAAACCCAGTACACAAGAAATAATAACATAAATCAACACAAACCCCAGCAAAGGAATGACAAACCCAGAAATTACAGTATAACAAAGGGGGACGTTTTTGAGGGCAGGAAAATAGGATTTGGGGAAGGAGAGGGTTAGGGATAAGTAATAAATACCAAACATTAACAAATCAACCAATTTCCCACCTCCCAGTGCTCACAACTCATCCCAACCCCCAGGCCCCTCCCTGGCACCTTCCCAGATGTGTCCAGAGATGAGTGCTGCAGCATTGTGAACATTGAACAGTCCTCCTGACAGTGTCTTTGCCGCTAGACGGGACAGGGTTCTCTCCTGGGTCCCCGGTCTGGAGTTTTGTGGAGGTCTCAGCTGGCTTTCGGTAGCAAGTGCTGGGTCAGATCTTTGCTACTCTTGATGCTGGCCTCCGCAGAGTATGAACTGCTTGATCTGTGCACTAGACTAGATCCCACAGCAGTTCAAAGTCTTCCTTTGTGGGGAAGGGATATAATCAGACTCTCAGCTCCCAGTTTTGTAAAGCTGTAGAGCACCCTGAAAGCATTATTACTACTGTCAGTATTACTAATAATTAATATTATTCACCTGTAGGTTACTGGATCACATCTGAAGTAGGCCATCAGTAATTGAATGCCATTACTACTGGAACATTGTTGGGTTGCCGGTGTGAAAATTAACCGATGAACTCACTTCAGTTCCTATTGGCAAGTGTCCGCATCCTAAACCCCCCCTCTCTCCCCCAAACAGGCGAAATCCTGGTTTGTGGAGTTTTCCCATTGACTTTAGTGGTGCCGGATTTAACCCACCATCACACATGGAAACGCTGAATACCTTTGTTATCAGTGTCAAGTGAGAACTTAAGGATTGGATGGACCATGGCATCTGAATTACCCTATTGCTGCTAGCGTAAATCCCCTTAGATTGGGGTTGTAGCATATTGATTTACATGTTACTTGCCAGCTGAATGAATCCACTTTAAACAGTGCACTTCTCTGCTCCATCAATCCTGCTTCACAATTTCTGCATCTGTCCATCGAATGATCAGTTACAAATAAAGCATGCATCATTAGAAACTAGTTGCAATAGGAACCATCCTCTTAGTTACAGTATAAAGAAGACTAATATTCAGTTATTTCATGCATTTACACACATGCTAATTTGTTCACCTATGCTGTCTCCAAAAAAAAAAAAACGCTTTATGGTCAGTCAGTTTTGCTACAGTCCCCTTAATTGTAGTTTACCAAGCATTGCCAGCAATAACTCAAGCAAGTCCAATATATTACATAGCTACGGCAATTATGCAACAGTTAAATTGCTCTAGTTGATTTACTTAATCTGACTGTAGATCCTGCCTTTGTCATCCAGGCAGTGATGGCCCCCTCATGTACCATACCCTTGTGCAGTCTGAGGTGTGCTGACCCTTTGGATGTGGTTTCCACTCATTTTCTCCTCTGGTAAATAAGAAACTGGCAGGGAACATTGTGATCATTAAAGAACCAAACAAGGATAATGCAATCTATTAATAAGAGCCATAAACATACACAATATTAATCATGCATTCCCACACAAATCTGTCAATGCTTTACCAACATTTTAACCTCTATTTCTATTCATTGCACAAGAGCACATGAAGAACAGAGATAGGCAAAAAAAGTTACACCCTAATGTGGAACTGAAAAATTTTAGCAGTTAACTTGTTTTGCATAAAGACAAATAATTGTTCTGTTAGTGCACTCCTACATGCTTTTGCCAAGAGGGGAAATTAACCTTGTCTGTTTCTGCAGAGATGAAGGTGAGAGAGTGAGCTCTGATAGCTGCAACATGTTTTGATTGGCTGGATGAGTATATCGATTTCACTGGAAGTTAGCAGCCTAAATAGAAATTAGGAGCTTAACTCCTTTTTGAGCATTCAGCTATCAGTCACTAATGCTAAGGCTACTAAATTCGGTCACCCTCCTGTCTAAAATATGACGATTCACATGCTCCATGGAACCAGATTTTAGCTGCATACCATATTGGTATA